CTGCTGACCAAGTACACCCCTTCATGGAAACGGTATTAGCCGATGGCCTTTTTCAGCAGTTCATAACAGGGAAGGAGACCAGCTCTTCCAAAGATGGCTATTTCTATGTAATCATTTTGTCTGGGGTTTTTTAAACATGTTTGTAATAAAATGAAATTAATTTTAAGGTCTGTAATGTTTGCTTAAAATCCCCCTTCTGGTTCTGCAACCACAAAAATACCTCTGTGGTTTGTTTTATGTCCATACAGAGACAGGTGAGCAGCTATGGACTATCGGCTGTGGTAGTGTCAGCGGTCCTACTTGCGGTGCCACCGCGGCTGGAAGTGTGGACAGTAGATTGAACACTCCAGTGATGTCAGTGTCTCTGCCAATAGGAGCAGTGTAAAAAGTTAGTATCGGTGCAGGGGAAGGTAATCTTGACACTCCAGCTGTTGTAGAACTAGTCCCAGGAGGAGTTGCCAGACTCCGCCTCTGGGAGTCACGCCTGTGGGCTGTCGGAGGCATAATGGGATTTGAAGTGCCGAGGTTGCTGACCTGATGTTTTGCGGAGCAAAGCTTCTCCCAGTTGTCTTGTGACATCATCACATTTCCAGCTTGAGCCTTTAGAATAAATCGTATTTTTATAAAGGAAGGTATTAAATGCATGTTTTCTTTAATAAACAGTGAGGGGAATTTATCAAAACTGGAGCAGACATTCTGGAGCAGTTGCCCATGGCAACCAATCAGCTGCTCTCTTTAGTTTGTTCAGTTAACATTTGAAAATGAAAGAGAGCAGCTGATTGGTTGCCATGCACATCTGCTCCAGATTTTGTCTGCTCCAGTATTGATAAATTCCCCTCAATGTCTTTATTCTGATATCTTTTCCAATAGCTGTTGCACATTTCAGGGAAACATAACCGATCACATTTAACCTTTTTGTATCAGTTTACAGCAATCGGAGACCTAAAATCATGCTAAATAATATTCTGGACACTGTTGGCAATACCACAGTTGCTTTCTTCTGTTCTAGATCTCATCCTGCCCAAAAGCCTCGGGCTCAATAAATCTTTTTTGCTCCACAGGTAAAAGAATTCGACTCCATCTCCCGTTTGGACCAGTGGCTGACTACAATGCTGCTCCGCATTAAGAAGACCATCAAAGGGGAAGAGGAAGACTTGCGCTAAGGGTTCTATTCCGTACCACCTTCCCCCCGTGATCTGAGCCCACTTTAGGAATTGTGAGGGCGGGTTGCGGGAAAACTGCTTTCATTATTGGCATACAAATTTGACTTCACCACAAGATCCTCATTCACCATCAGGGAATTCTGCCGCTGTATTTGAGCCGTTTTGTGAACACAATCAGTCATAAGCAGTCAGCTGATTGGCGGGCTGCTTTCCATTGTGGATTCTGAACACAAAATGGCTGGTTTTACAGTACAGGGGCATTGTATACCCCCATAATAAAGGAAGTCTCATTTTATTTGGGGGGGATTTCTCCATTTAGGTCAACAATATTTCAGCTGGACGGCATGACTTCCCTGCACGTTTTTAGCTAGCATTGGAAACCTCCTCATTGACAAGTGGGCTCCTTTTTTTTTATACTGTCAGAACCCAGGCGCCGTCTGTGCAATTTGCACTTTTTGGGGGCAAGCCGCTCATTGTCAAGTCGTACCATTGCATGGATTTGGGGGGGAGGGGGGGCGCGCGCGCGCGCATGTAAAGGGAGGGGAACCGGGAAGGCTGAACTCTGGCCACATTACTCCACACTAAGCATAATATAAACCTATATATGTATTTTATTTTTAGAGGATGGTAAAGCCATAGCCTGGCCAAATATGGGAGCTTAGTACATCTGAGCCGACCATCCAGGAGAGCGCATCAGAAATGCAAGGTTCTATTCTATTTCTTCCTTGCCACCCTTTGGTGTGTTTAGATTTAAATAATTGTATTTATCCAGAGATGTAGGAAGCCATATCGACTATCTATGTGACAACGATTTAAGCTGCACACTTGGAATTAGCACAAACACTGAGCATCGGGGTTTAGGACCAAGGAGTTTTGGGGCTTAATTATGTATAAACAACGGGTTGGTTCTCCCGTATCACTGGAATTTGCAGGTTTCAGATGTTATTTGTTTTAGGTGAATTTGTTGCTATGGGCAACAGACACTTTAGTTTTGAGTCTGTGCTCCCTCCTGTTTTAATATCGCGAAGATGAGGTCTTGTGTGCTATACTAGCTTGTGAGACACATGTCTGCATCTTCCAGGAGGGCCGGGACCTGGATGGAACCATGTTGTCAAATATGAAATAAAACTGTTTTCTTTTTACCATCGTGCCCCCGTAAATGGAGACCGCTACAAAGTTGGCATTGCTTTATTGTGTTATGCTCTAGATGTGCACATTTCCCAGCATTTTATGATCAGATGCGGGTTATTGTTTGTTAGTTTTTTTGTCTTGTCTATTGTCTTGTAAACCATCTTGTAAAAAAAGAAGAAAAAAAAAAAGTGCAGCAAAGTCCATGTGAAATAGTGAAATAAAGCCGGTGGGATGTATGAAGTCTGTGTGCTTTTTTTATTTCCTAAATGTGTCCTAAAGAACAATATATACTAAAGTAGGCTATACACGGTGCAAATTTCATCAAGTATTAGCTGAAAATGGCACAGTGGGTGCCCCTGTTAGCACCCTTCCGTCTGGCATCCCTTGATCAGCTAATTGAAGGAGCAGGTTGGAAAATTCTTGGCTGACCAGAACTTGCAGTCAGTCTGCTGCAGGCTCTCTTCAGGACTGGCTGCTGTTGGAATACAATGCAAATCTGCAGGGACTTTATCAATCCATGCTTGTAAGTGTTGGTGGAGGAATCAACTGTGTATACCCAGCTTTACCATTCCTTCGCTTCAATGCTGGGAGCTAAATTAAATACCTGTACTTCCAAGGATAGAGGAGCATGTGACTGACTCCATGTGGGCTCCATGCTAAGATCAATCAGCTCTGTCCCGTTGCTAGTCCATAGGTGTAAGCTACACCTCCAGCAACTCAGCTTCCACCAGTCATTCCTACTCTTCTAGCAGCTGAATAGTGTAGCGCAGAAAGGAAGTATATGGGCACAGGTACTCTTTTTTTTTTTTAAAGTGACCCCATCAGTACAGCTGTGGCTGCTCAGCCTACACAAAGCAATGACAGCCTGACAGGAGCTGTGCACCTCCATTCACACATCCGATGCCGCTGCTGTCTGCATGTATCCAGACATCCAGCTATTAGGAACAGATGACCAGCTTGGGGTGCATTCTGTGTGTCGTGGGGCAGACGTCTGTTCCTAGCCGCAGTAGATTCAAGAATTTCACCGGCACACACTTGTAAAATCAAATATCAATATTACAGTGATATATTTATTAAGTGAAGGACGTCACATAATGTCATATGGTGCTAAAATTTCGAAGCCTCACAGGGATCCTTCATCAGAGCAACACAGTGACAGGATACATTGATGAACATGCAGATGTGTGTGTATATGTGTATATATATCTATATATATATATATCTATATATATCTATATATATATATATCTCAATCCAGGTGCAAAGAGAACAGTCATGGGCCTGGCTGGATGTGAGGATACATGCGGACACCTGTGTCGCTGGATGTGAGGATACATGCGGACACTTGGTGACAAGGGAGCATGTAGACGGCATCTCTGCTCATTGGGAAGCCGGCTGGCAAGTCACATTACACGCTGCCTGACTTTCTTAAAGGAGAACTATGAGGTGAGTGAAAATCACTCATCCTCATAGTTCTAGCTGACCTGTGACAATGAAACTGTCACAGGTCGGCTCAATAGATCGGGAAGTGAGCGAACACAGCGTCGCTCGCTCACTTCTCGATCTATCCTTGCAGAGAGCTGTGACTCACTCATGGCTCCCTGCAAGGATTCCCCCTCCCCTGTCCAATCCTCCAGCACTGACTGGCGGAACGGATGGGTGAGGGGGCGGGTACAGCTGGCTCTGCCTCTAGATAGGCAGAGACAGCTGTCACTCACGCAGCTGGGTGGCACTCAACAGTAATGTCAGGATCTGTCCCGGCTGCAGCGTCTCAGTATACCGCGAGCTGTAGCTCACGGTATACTGAGCTTAGGGTGACGGGAGGACACTAGTATGTGGAGAAAAACACTTACCCCATAGTTCTCCTTTTAATGGGACTTTCGGTATCGCTGTATCGGCGAGTACTAAAAAAAAAAATATCAGTACTCGATACCGAAAAAACGGTATCTGTGCATCCCTACTAATTTTCTTCAGTGCAACAGAATGGAGCAATGTGAACCAGTCCCACTCGCACCCATTAATTTTTTGGTGACGCAAAGGATACGGTGTGAATGGGCCGAGACGAGATTTGCTTATCCCGGAGTTCAGATTTTTATACAAAGAACAAAAGAGAAGTACAGTATATCCGGTGTGTGTAACAAGAGGAAGCACATACTGGGCCCAGTCACACCGGATCCATTGCGATCTGTTTTTCAATGGATGCTAACAGAAGGGCGCCAAAAAATGAATGGGATTAGTTCACACCACATCCGTGCTTTTGCTTACGTTGCATGGAGAAAAAGTAAAACATGACTACTTTTTTTTTCCAGTGTGAACTAGCCCCATTCACTTTTCGGTGCCCTTCCATTAGCATCCGTTGAAAAAGGAATCACAACGCAACTGATCTGAAGTTACAATTGCAAGTCAATGGACGCTCTGTTGACTTGCAAATTCCTTACGATTTTGTTGTTAACGGGCCCTTATAAATGTTCTGAGCCTTATAGACACCAAAACAGCAAATTTCACTTTAACAAGTTTATTCTTTTCACGTGAACATGTAAGGACCATCCTGCAAAATACAGCCATGCAGGGAAGAGTCATAGCTGTGCTGCATCAGAGGAATCAATCCAATGAGGGCTACAGGGGTAAAAAAAAAACAGGGTGACTCCGGTTATAGGGTTGCGCTGATAAACAAGCGGTATTGGAGTCGCGGGCGTCCATCTTAGTAACTGGCAGCCTTGTTTACCGGTGGCGTCACTTCCGGCCATGTCTGCCGCTTGCTGTCCGCTCACTGAAGACACGTTCAGCCGGTTCCCGTCTCAAAGCAATGTGTACGGGCTGTCAGTGCTGCCCTGCCCCGGGCCTGGCGGACACGAACTGCTGGCGGCCACCCTGAAAGGCAAAGTCACCAACTTCAAGTACCAGGACCTCCGGGACAATCTACGAGCCGGGGCCAGGGAGGTCCAGTTCACCTATATACCAGGTGGGGGCGGGGCCAGGGAGGTCCAGTTGACCTATATACCAGGTGGGGGCGTGACCAGCTACTTCCAGTTTACCTGCATGTAGGTGGGGGGAGGGCAAGAGTTGCCCAAGTTCATCTATATATATTTACACACTGCAGTGAACCGTGCCGGTGTGAATGAAGCCCATGTGTATTAAACGCAGGGACAAGAATGATATTGCAGCTTTCCAATCTTCACATGTATCAGTTTTTCCCTTTATTCTCACCTGCTGATCCTGCCACTAACACACTGTCCCAGTGTGACAACACTCACCATGCTGTATCTATGGAGGAGCAGCGTTGTCACCCTAGGCTGCGCTGCTGATCAGGTCTACAAACACCTCCCCCTCGCCTCTTCTCCATACCATAGTGGAGATGTAGTCCTAAGAAATAGCTGAGAGCTATGTAACTGATAAGAGTACAGCACAGGAAGTCATCAGCTGCCAAGATTTATGGCGGGATCATCATGTATTTTTTTTTTTGCACATGGAATAAATATGATGAAACACTTTCAGTGGAATATTTAAAGCCCATCCCTCCCCCCCACTCCTCACTCCTCTTTAAACCTTCCTGCCATGTGTTTAGATTTGCCATACCCCCCCCTCATCCAGGCCCCACGGGGACCGCTGCAGTTTAACCCTTACAAGTCGGTCCCCTTGACACCCCCCCGGGTCTACATCTGTATTCTTCTGGATCCTAAGAGGACCCCTCCGCATGGACAGCCAATGGGAATTATTCACAACACGCAGGCAGTGACATGGACACCTGAAAGAAGGACCCCTGCAGGAAGTAAACAGCGGAAGGACCCGGCGCTGAATGATCATGTGATCACATGATAATTATTCTCGTATTTATCAGCTCTTTGATGATTTTGTTTTTCAGTGGACGCCGAGATTGTTTCCATCGATTCCTTCAGCAAGTCTCCCCCCAAGCGTGGCCTAGTAGTGGGGATCACTTTCATTAAGGTGCCTTATAAACTGCTTTGTAGATGTCGATTTTCCCGATGGCCTGATAGGAAACGGCTTGTTTATTACTCTGTCAACAAACAATGTATCACAGCTCCCTCCTCACAACTACAGCACCCTACAATAACGGGGATCAGGCCTCAGCTGGCCATACACTATACAATTTGGTTGTACAATCTCCATTAGATCTTCCAGCATCTTTGTAATATAAGGGCCTATGCGATTGGATTGAAATTGATTGGACTCCATATGTTTGTTCTCATACTACATAGTTTTGGTTAGGGATGCACCAATACCGGTTTTTCGGCATCGAGTACCGATATTTTTGTTTCGGTACTCACCGATACCGGCATCCTGAGGTATCGTGGGCCTGGGTAGTCAGGAAGTTGGGTGGCGGGTTACGACCCGCCGTCTGACTTCCTGATTGACTGGGAAGCGAATGTTCTATTGAAAGCACACCGGCTTCACACTCCCTCGCAACACTGCGAGGCAACCTGGCTTCTGACCAATCAGGAAGCCGGGGGGTGGGTCATGACCTGCCCTCCAGCTTCCTCATTGGTCAGGCTGCCTCGCAGTATGAAGCCCGCTTCCTAGGCCATCAGGGATGCGGGTCATGACCTGCCCTCCAGCTTCCTCATTGGTCAGGCTGCCTCGCAGTATGAAGCCCGCTTCCTAGGCCATCAGGGATGCGGGTCATGACCTGCCCTCCAGCTTCCTCATTGGTCAGGCTGCCTCGCAGTATGAAGCCCGCTTCCTAGGCCATCAGGGATGCGGGTCATGACCTGCCCTCCAGCTTCCTCATTGGTCAGGCTGCCTCGCAGTATGAAGCCCGCTTCCTAGGCCATCAGGGATGCGGGTCATGACCTGCCCTCCAGCTTCCTCATTGGTCAGGCTGCCTCGCAGTATGAAGCCCGCTTCCTAGGCCATCAGGGATGCGGGTCATGACCTGCCCTCCAGCTTCCTCATTGGTCAGGCTGCCTCGCAGTATGAAGCCCGCTTCCTAGGCCATCAGGGATGCGGGTCATGACCTGCCGTCCAGCTTCCTCATTGGTCAGGCTGCCTCGCAGTATGAAGCCCGCTTCCTAGGCAATCAGGGATGCGGGTCATGACCTGCCGTCCAGCTTCCTCATAGGTCAGGAAGCCAGGCTGCCTCGCAGTGTGAAGCCCGCTTCCTAGGCAATCAGGGATGCGGGTCATGACCTGCCGTCCAGCTTCCTCATTGGTCAGGCTGCCTCGCAGTATGAAGCCCGCTTCCTAGGCAATCAGGGATGCGGGTCATGACCCGCCACCACGTTCCTGATTGGTCAGGAAGCCGTCTCCATGCTTCCTCGCAGCACTGCCGGTCACAGGGAATCTCCCTCTGACCGGAAGTTCCAGTATCGGAGCATTTGGGCAAGTACGACACTAACCCAAATGCTCAGTATCGGCACTGATACTAGTCTTGGTATCGGTGCGGTCCTAGTTATGGTAAATTTAAATGAGATTGTACAATCAGATTGTACGACCACCCGTAGGCTGATCATACACTATATAATCTGATTGTACAATCTTCTTTAGATCTATCAGCTGTCTGTCTGATTACATACAATTGGACTGGATAGATGTGGTGGGTCCTCGTATTACATATTGCTGCTGGTAAGTCTAATGTTGATTGTACAAAGATGTATGGCGACATTGTAACATTTATGGTGCCCCTTAGCATTGCATAGTCTTTAAGGCCCCTTCACTACTAAGCTGTTTGTTGTGCGTAAATCGGTGGGACAAGCAGCTGAACACTAGGAATCCCATGCATGTCTATGACCCCAGTGCACATGTCAGCGTTTTGTCGCAGGAAATACTACATGAGCTACTTTGGGGCTGATTTCAGCGCGTTTTGTCCCAAAGAAAACGCTTAAAGAATCGCGTGTTGTGATTATTTCCGTGCGTAGCTCACGCGTTTTGCTCATTGACATGAATGTTCCAAAGTCTGGTCACAAAAACACACGACTTAACATAGGCGCAAAAAAAGCCGCATGTAAAACGCGCTGAATAGGTGTGGCCTAGGTGTGAATCCAGCCTAGAGAGAGAGATGTGTGATAGGTTTTTATCTGTGTGAGTGTGGAAAGCGTCCCTCAGTGCGTGCGTGATTGTATGTTCTTCATCTTTAGGATTCGGGAAACAAGGCCAGTCCTTTCCTAAATATTTACTGCGACTACGAGCCCGGATCGGAGTACAATCTGGATTCCATTGCACGTAAGATTCACATACACACATAGAAAAAAGCGTTTTATCGGTATCAATGTAGCTGGAGAAGTCCAGCATCTGAAGCAGGGGTGGTCCCATGAGGCATTGTAAGATTGTAAGACTGATAGTTACAGGCATGGCTCCCAGAGGGATGTTGGGATTTGTAGTTAAAGCACAGGCTGAGGGCCAAGGTTGCCCACCCCCGATATATGGGATTTAGTGTACACATAGACAGTCGTATTGCAATTCAGTTTCCATTCATCAAGTTCGCTCTGTACTGGTTTCAGTGTTCTTTGCAGAATACACAGGAGGGGAATTTATCTAAACGGGAGCTGACAGACCCTGGAGCAGTTGCCATGGCAACCAATCCGCTTCTCTGTTCAGTGTCTTCAGTTAAGCTTTGAAAATGAAGAGAAAAGCTGATTGGTTGCCATGGCAACTGCTCCATAGTCTGTCTGCTCCAGTTTTGATCATTTGCCCTCGCAGTTGTATCCCACTTGGTCCACTCTGCACCGTATGATGGGAGTACAGTAATCCTGAATGGTTTCCATGGCAAATTTTGTCCCATCACCTCTGTGGTTAGGGGGGAAGTTTGGTTGCTATTAACAACAAAGACACTGTTTCTTTAGGAAAATTTAAGCTGGACATAAGCCTGCCATCTTTTCTCTTCCAGCCCCACAGGCTGAGCAAGAAAGAATGCTTTCTGAACAGTGTGGATGAGGAAATCTCCTGTGCTGGCTGTTGTATTCAGACAGCCGGCACCCACAGCTGTTGTTTTTTTTAATGGGAGCCAATAAAATGAATCATTTTATGTACCTCATTGTCAGTATACTTTTCTTTATGAGTATCGATTGAAACCCCCATAATAATATAGCCCCTGGATATTTAAGTCCAGTTGGTTCTCTGCTTTTTTTAACCCACGGTTGTAAGAATACCCGACAGTGACTGCATCTGATTGGATGTAGTTATTGTTCAGCCAACAATTTTTGGACTGGCTCCTTCACCAAAAGTCTTTTTTTTTTTTAGAGTGGTGACATCAGGGCCACTCACAGCTTGAATTTGAGATTGTATTTGGCCAGTTTTATGGATGTTTTTCATAAACAGGTTTCATTCTGACTTGCTGCTTATTGTTCCTTTTTTTTCTTTCTCAGAAAGTTGCTTAAACCTAGAGCTGAAATTCACCCCTTTCCAGCTGTGCCATGCGGAGTGAGTATCACCGATGGGGCATTGAATTGCTTCTAATAACGTGTTTACTGCTGTGTATTGCGCCATTTGTTTGTATTAGACCTCAGAGGTGATCACGGCGACGCTGATCTGCGAAAACGTGAACTGTTCTCCATGGCGGTTATTAGGCTTCTCTGTCCTATGTGAAACATTCCACTCGATTGGTTGCCACAGACAACTGTTCCGCTTCTGCTGGTATAAATCATGCCCAGTGGGGGGGATTTATCAACAGAATCTGGAGCAGTTGCCCATGGCAACCAATCAGCATCTCTCTTCAGTTTGCTCAGGTAAGATTTGAAAATGAGAGAGAGAATCTGATTGGCTGCAGTGCAAATCTACTCCAGATTTTGTCTGCTCCAGTTTTGATAGATCCCCCCCAATGAGTTTTGTTTTGTAAAAAGCTTTTATATTATTTTTAAATCTGAACTCGGGGCACAAAAACATTCATTTAAATGTATTCCTCAATAACCACAAAGGGATATAAATCAACTCTGTGTGCACCAAATGCCTTCACAAGCCCAGTTATTACCTTGTAATAAGTAAGTAGTAGCAATTACATCATCATTAAGCTGCACATAGTCTGGGCTGAGAGCAGAGCTGTGGGAGGGGCCCAGCAGGCTCCACCCACTACAGGCTGCCTGCAGGAGGGGGTGGAGAAAAGACCAGTCACTCTACACAAGGAGAGAGAGCAGCAGTGACCGGTCTTTATTACAGGAGGGGCGGAGAAAAGACCAGTCACCCTGCACAAGCACAAGGAGAGAGAGAGCAGCAGTGACTGGTCTTTATTACAGGAGGGATGGAGAAATGACCAGTCACCCTGCACAAGGAGAGAGAGAGCAGCAGTGACTGGTCTTTATTACAGGAGGGGTGGAGAAATGACCAGTCACCCTGCACAAGGAGAGAGAGAGCAGCAGTGACCGGTCTTTATTACAGGAAGTCTCATATTGGATTATTGCACAGGTCTGGAAGAAATACACAAAGCTCACCAGGATTAAAGGAAGACTACACATGACTCTTGTATGTAGACCATATTTCCTTATCCCGAAGTTCAGTTTTAAAAGGAAGCGGCCAGAAAAGAGATCTAGAAAATGGCGTAACTAAAGGTTTGAAGGTGCAGGCTGTGGACTGCGCACATAAGGTGTACTGCATGCTTGTTCCTTGTCAGTAAGTCAAAGAATGACAGCCATGGAGCTTCCCTAAAAAACAGGTTGGCAGTGGCAGCTCCCGTATATTCATCTACAAGTACTCCTTAAAACACGTTGTATCATTTTGACAGGGTGCATGATGGGGATCAGCAGGAGACGGTGTTTTTACTGGGAGGCAACGATCAGTACATCCACCTCTACAAAGAGGTAAGACCCACAGTTCACAGTAGTCATGTAGAAAAACACTTTGGGACTACTACTATCAATTGTCCCATCCTGAACATAAGCAGAAGGAAGAGAGCAGAGCTGGAGAAAGACGTTTAAAGAAAAACTTCAATTTTTTAATTCGTTTTTCATTTTTATTGCAATCCTAAAGAGGATTTTAAACCCATTTGTGCAATCGGAGAGTAGCTCGGCCTCATCACTGATCAATATGATTGAATTGCATTCTAGTGTATAATGCATATCTTGTGTGGGATCGTATTTTAGGAGATTTCATGCTGTTTTTCGCCATGCAATGTGATGCGCTTTAAAAAAACGTAGACTGCCGTGGACCATGAATTACACTCGTTGAGCAATATTTGGATGTTTGCCGTGCGGCACAGGGGTTTCTGAAAAGGGCATGCCCGATACTCGGAACGTAGTTATTTCCTGTCATTTAGGTTTTGGTTACATATAGAGAATGAGCGAGGATGTTTTCATGTGAACATTTTTAAGCATGAATTAATAAAAAATAAATATATTTTGTTTACACGTCGTTTTCCATCTTTGCTCCTTTCCTTCCCCTGATGTTCAGGGTGCGACCATCGTGCTAGTCTCAGACTGCGCTTTGTACTTTTTAAAATCTCTGATGATGATTTCCCAAAGGACTCCTTATTTTGTATAAATATTTGTTGTCACAATAATTCTTTGATCATGTGTTGTGTGATTGTGTGTGTATAAAAGTATGTAATATACACACTGTCTGCCCCCTTCCAACAAAAGTCACCATCTGGATTTAGCTAAGCAACTAGGTCCGAGCCTTCCATTAGATAATAGGTCTAGGCTCAGCAACGTCATGTCCCCCCAAAAATGAGGTCAGCTGTCTACCTGGATATACTGAGTGACCAGGTTTTGCCATCAATGGATTTTGTCTTCCCTGATGGCACATTGGACATATTCCAAGATGACAATGCCAGGATTCACCAGGCTCAAATTGTGAGAGTGGTTCAGGTAGCATGAGACATCATTGTCACACATGAGTTGGCCACCACAGAGCCCAGACCTTAACACCATTGAGAATATTTGGAATGTGCTTGATAAGACTTTACGCAGTGCTCCGACTCTCCCCTCATCACTGCAAGATCTTGGTGAAAAATGAATGCAACTCTGGACGGAAATAAATGTTGTGACATTGCATAAGCTTATGGAAAGTCAAGGTAAGGTATACTCTAACACCGAGCTGGAATAATTCCAGGGGCCAGGTTGCCAGTGCTCCCTTAAAATGACAGCTTCTAAGTTTTGAGGTTTTCTGTAGTTATTGTCAATGTCAATATAAGAAAGACATTACAATCACAATACAATTCAATACAAGATGGTAAGCAGGGCCCTGCCCCTGAGAGCTTACACTCTAAAAGGAAGGGGCAAGTTATACATGAGGAGGTCGCTGTGGGTGGAGGAATTGTTTGAGAATGTGATGTGGAGAAAGGGATGGTCCTGAGAGGATCAGAGCAGAACACCATTTACCTTGTCATCCACATTCATTTATAACTAATATGTTGTAATCTTTTGGTTTATAAACAGAATGAAAGCCTACACCAGTTTGAAGAACAACCCGTTGAAAACCTTTTTCCAGAGCTGAGAGATCTCCCCAGCAAGTAAGATGTAATTCTTCTGATACATGTACCATCTGCTGTCTCAAGAGATCAAGCTTAACCCGGGAATAGAGGTTCACCTGCCTGGCCGTGAAGGGTGACCAGACTGTGTAAATGACACGACTTACACATATTCTTACAAATCTTAATCTTTACCGAAGTTAATTGCAACTGTGTATCTAGTATGTAGAGTATGTAGAGTTCTGCTTTAAAATTGTGGGGTTCTGCTTCACTGTAAACATTTGACACTAACCTCGGAGTTTGTCATTGCGCAGTGTTACGTGGCTGAGTGTTCATAACATCCCAGACACCCAGAGACGCATTACGGCATATGGATGTCAGAGTGGATATTTTTGTATCTCCCATGTGGATCAAGGAAAGCGAGGTAAGAGGAACTCTATCCCTCTCTTTAAAATATGACATCTGTTATGTTTATTTCACTGTTGTTGACAAACAACATCTTATAAAAAGGTTTAAAAGGATACCTATAGCTGTGTTTTAGTTTGTTCACTTGTTCTTAATATATGTATTATAACAGTGGTATTGTTAGACCTGGTGAAGAGTTCTATGTGAAATACAGGCGCTTATAGTAACCTATCAAGATCCATCTGTCATTATCTAACCTGCATTGGAAGAATGACTGAAGGAATGGGTATCTGTGAAGAGCACTATGGGGCTGATTTATAATGCTGGGAGGATGCCATTCGCATGGCACTACTGTCACTAGATGGAGCATAATAGATTCCCATCCTCCCCATCATCATTTAGCGGCAGTAGTGCTGTGCGAAGAGTTATAAGTCAGCCCCTATGAGTATGAGGTCTTTAAATGCCTGCAGGTGATGTGCCTAGATTTATCCATTTTTTAAATATGCTCCTTAGGGATAAGCTTGTAGCTTTTTTAAAATGACACCAAACTCAGGGGTTATATCTAAAAAATGTATTCATGCACCTTAACTATTAACACAAATGTATCTGATTTGTGTATCACTCGCCTGTAGATCTTCAAATCATCTCTGAATTGCTGCTGACACTGTCCTTCCTTCTGGAGGGGGGGGATAATTTTGTTCTCCATGATCCCTCTGTGTGTTGTAAAGTAGTCACCGCTCCAAGTCGCTCTCGTGATGGACTACAAGCTCACGTTTAGATTACTAATTTGTATTGAGATTGTGGTCCTTCACGGGAGCGATCTTGGAGCGGTGACTACTTTACAACACACACAAGGACCATGAGGAACAGAAATAGCCCCCCTCCAGAAGGAAGAACAGTGTCGGCACCAATTCAGAGATAATTTGAGAATCTACAGCCAAGGGATACATTTTTGTTAATAGTTAAGGTACTTGAATGCATTTTTAAGATTTAACTCCTGAGTTTAGTGTCACTTTAAAACAATACCCTGCTTTTCCAATAGGCGAGAGTTCTTCTTTACAATGCTTGCTCCGATGAAACACTAGGCGGCAGTGTTGCATTGGTGTGCTTTGTCTTAGCTGGTTTAGGACACCATCATGATCTGTAGCTTTATACATAGAAAAACAACCATCCCTCAGGATAAAATGTACTTTCACTTCTCAGAATGCACATGGGGTGGCATTGTTATACTGGAACCGCTAGGGAAGTATACATTTAGAAGGTGTTGCGTTAATGTAATGAGACTTCTGTCCTCCTGTTGGCAGAGATTCTGCAGAGCTGGTCCCTGCAGCAGGATGGTCCTCTCTCCAAGGTGCTGATCTTCAGGATGCCCTGTGTACAGCATGAAGCAGAAGGTGAGTTTTCTTGGGATGGCGAGGGTACTAACAAGATGTATAAGCTAGTACTAAGTTTCTGTATTGTTATATTGTAACTGTGCACTTTATTTGTAGATGCCTGTGATGACCAGACCTTTAAGGAGGAATACAGTGTCCTGGTGACCAGTACTATAGAGCTGTCTGCTGTTTATAGGTCAGTCCTTTCCTTCATGTTTCACCAGCAGGTCTAGGCTATGTACACATAAGAACTAATATAAAACAGCTGTTATAATATCCAGCAGTGTACCTAGTACAAGGGTAGGCACTCCAGCTGTTGTGGAAATGAAAAACGCTTGACAGCCACAGGCATGACTCCCAGAGACATATTGGGATTTGTAGTGTCACCACAGCTGGAGTTGCCTACTGTGTTTATCACATATTACCATGCTGGCTTTTAACTTTACATATGTCCATTTTGGTAACTTAACCAAATGGACATGTGCCCCCTACCTACACTGGGACAGCTCTATTATTGGCTGTATCTGCTAACACTGACATTTGAATTTGCAGTCTGTCTTCTCTTTTTTGACAGCAATCCCATTTTCCCAAACACCTATGGCTTTTCTTACTTTCCACATTTAATAAGATACTGCTTTTTCCCCAGTGGTCATTAGAGTCCACAGTTCTGGCCACTATAGTCATTGTTTTTAAAAAGTGAGGCTGTGCAAAGTGCAGTCATGCATTGCAGCCAGTCATAATTACCATTCATCATGGTGATGACCAATCAGAACAATGAAAGGGTGATTGTTATTTATGGTTGCTTCCCTTTGCACATTGCTTTGCCTTATTGACTCCTCCCTGGGTAGCATTCAGTCATCGAGGCAGTTGGCATCCACTGGTATCTGGGGAGTTTGGGTAGAATAATAGGCACAGTGCTTTCATTCATGTTGTATTAATGTATTGTACTGCTGTTTATTCTCAGGAACATCCTACAAAGTGGTCTCCGAGAACAGCTTCTTCTACCAGAAAGTGACCAGTTTGACAGTGTCCTTTCTGCTGTGACGGCCGATGTGGATTTTGATGGAGAGCCAGAGATTTTACTGGGAACGTATGGTCAGGTGAGGCCAAAATGATATGCTATCTGCTTAGCAATGCAATCATTGTATTTTACTTCTCTTATCTCAGTGAAGGTCTCTCAGGACCTGTGAATAAAATTACAAAGGATAACGTGGTTCATATAAAATAATCCGGATATGCAGATTGCCCCAAAATGAATTAGAGATCTAGTTATGAATCTACCTAATGAGAATATGGCACAACCAGCATGTATCAAAAATAAGTATCGCACACACTTTAACAACAATGTATACTCCGAAAATGCTCTGTAGTATCTCTCTAAAGCCGAGTGCCAGGCAAGCAGCTAAATACACAGTTAAAATACATATGGGGAATTTTTAACCCGCAAGAACTTGTTTTGTAATCCAGGGACAACATAGTCGGGTCCCTTGACCTTCAGTGCATTGACGGCTTGGTCCAAGACTATAAATGAACTTTGCACGATATTCTAATTATTCGAGTTTCACCTGTGTGTATATATATAGCTCATCCTATACTACTAAGTACATGAACTTTGTATTGCCTGTACTATCTAGTCAGTCATATTCTTTTAACATTAGCCATCAGTGGCAGCTCCCATATATCTATCCTGGTTTCTTTAAAGAAACCATATACTTTGGCTATTCGAGGCAAAGTTACAGGTTCACTTTAGAGCATGGAGAATAAGGAGCACTTACCTTCCACTCGATTCCCTGTCCCCGTTTTCAGCTGCCGGAGCTGGAGGATGAGGCCAGAGAACAAGCAGTTAATTCCTGGTATGGACTCATACTGGACATTTCCCCCTGCTTCTGTACAATGCTTAAACAGGCAATCACTGGGCTTTGTGCACTGTTACCTCAGGACTGTGGGAAGGGCCCTTTTTTTTTTAGGCCAGGTTGTAACAGAAATTTTGTTACTGGACCTCCAGTGGTCAAACAGAGGGACAGTGGAGCACTAGAAGTTGGGTACGTCCTCCATGCCCACTAAAATGAATCTGTTACTTTGTCCTAAATTGATACATACAAGTTTACTTTTATGGCCTCATTTACAGAGCAGCACATTTTTTACAGGTTTGCAATCACAAAAGATGTGATTGGCATTGCATTGACTAACATGAGCACTTAATGCTTGCTGTCTTCAATTATCCAGCAACTACAACAGCCCTACACAAACCTCCATATTAACAGGAAGTGCTGTGACGTTACTTATGTCATCAATACACTACGATGCGGAAGCAATTAAATTTTTTTGTACAGTGCGCGCTCATGGAGCGCACTTTAGAAGGATTGGAAGACCAGGAGCTAATCGTTTCAGCTCATGGGCTTAGTGCTGGACCCTGGCTGTCATTCACAGCCAGTGGTTCCTGCACTAGAAGCCGCCGGGACCCGAGAGAAGCAATATGTCCCAGTCTTGTTTCAAAAAGCGGCGCTGAAACAAACAGCCGCTGCCCCAGTGCCATCTTAAATTGGCACCGGAGACTCAAGTAGTGTGGAAGCCTATTGCATCCTTCTAGCAGCTTTTTTTTTTTAAGAGACAGCATTCTCATTAAGATTTGTGTTTAACCTCCTTATACTGGAAGTTATGTTTTTTCTTTAAAGCCTTGAACAAAGCTTGCTGGACGCTCGCTGTACACACTGCTCTTATACAAGCAGAGGTCCATGTGTACAAGGCCTTAGAGTGGTAGAACAGCATGCAGGAGCTTTAAAACCACCTTCTCTCTATAATTACCAAAATGCTAATCCCAGGTCTCCCACAAAATCACTGCATGTCAAAAGTACTGTCTGCTGTGCCACCAGCTCGGAAGCACTGACATTGCCCTGTTTTTCATGATTTGTATAAATACCCCCTTCCTTCTTAGGTTGTTTCCCTGTTTTGAATGATTTTATTGAAGAAACCAGAACACATATATCTGATCTCTTTTCTTCTGAAGCAAAATTCCCGTTTCCTTCGACAAAAATAGTTCTCCGGAGGCGGGCGAATGGCGATGTTACAACTCCTGATTAATTAGATGAATGCCCCGGGGCTCATGTCGGGTGTAGGGGTGGGTGCAGCTGGCAGTGAAGGTGTAAACAGTGAATGTAATTAAATAAAGCGCAGCTTTTGGGAGAGCGAGAGCGCAGCCTTGCCTGTGGCTGAATGAGTGATTTCCGTGTGAAGAGTCCCATGTTGTTACTGAGTGTGATCGCTGCATGATAATACACTCTCTCCCACATAGTAGTTTACTTGGTGATCGCTGCAGTGGTGTATCTGTCTGCTGAGCAGTAAGGTAACATTTTTTTGTCCCCAAGCTACAGATATTTAGAGTAAAGTAATGGTCGCTTCTCGGCCTTTTGGCTAAGATCAAGTGTAGTATCTGTTCTTATCAGTTTTCGGTGGGGAAAAGAACCGTCCTTGCGGGGGATAATTACTTAGTACTCGCTGGAGTGAAAGAGCGTGTGGGGCGGCTTCCTGTGAGAGGGGAACCGCTCAGTACATGGCTTTCTGACTGAACAGATGCGAAGCTTGGTCAGGCTCGAGGGTTCGGGGGCGGCAGAAGCCCGTGGTGTTGTGCCCCCTGGGGGTGGCGTCCCAGGGGTGCTCAGAAAGTCACTTGGGTATGGGACCCCACATGACTCACTGTAGCACTTGGTCACACACCATATTGATTTTTCTGCACAATGCCTCTTGGACAGGCCTTATGGCTAGTCCGGGGCAATATTTTTGCACTCCGGCCCCTAAGGCCTGTCAGCGTGGTGCACTGGCACTTTATATTTATTTAAGCACTATATGCACGATTGGCACTTTTTTATTTTAAATTTGACCCACAGATGCGAAAGGTGCAGGTTTCTTCGGGGCCTATTCCTGACGCTGGGAGGAGATTCTGTGCCTCGAACGGGGTTCTCTGTCTCCTCCCACCCAGGAGGTGGGTTTCTCTTCGGGAGATCCCACTTGCCTAGTACTGAGGGGGACCTGTTTCGGCAGGTCCCCATAGGAAATGGTCCACGGCCTTCGGGTTGGTGGACCACCAGTCTCAACCCCTGTCAGGAGCCTTGCGCCCCGGGGGGTCGGGAAAGTAGGTCCCTTCTTTTGAAGGACCTTGCACCCTTGTGCACGTTTTTTGTGTGCTGTGATTTCACGGTTCACTTTTTTTGTTCACAGGGGGAAGTTTTGATGCACGTCCACGGGCTTCGATAAAAAAAATGGTGTAAAGTAGCCACTGCTCCAAGCTCGCTCCTGTGATGGACTACAAACTCAATACAAATTAGCAAAGTAAACATGAGATTGTAGTCCATCACAGGAGTGAGCTTCGAGCGATGGCTACTTTACAATACACACAGGGACCATGGGGAACAAAAGTAGCCCCCCTCCAGATGGAAGGACAGTGTCAGTACCAATTCAGAGATGATTTGAGGATATACAGCCGAGTAATACAGAAATAGGATACATTTTTGATAATAATTTGGGTACTTCAATTAATTTGGAAGCGTTACCTCCTGCATTCAGTGTCACTTTAACATCCATTGGTTAGAACATTTACATATAGCCATTCGCAGTCACATACACTATGCGGATAAAGTATTGTAGACTCTATTCCAAACTATTGCAAAACTATCGGCATTAATGTATACCCCAACAATTAACTTTATTTAGTTGTTCCCTTTTGGTATGTACACCATTTAAAAGTGTTTTGTTATATCTGTTTAATTAATGCAAAAAATACCTGTTGTCAGAAATTCAGATGTGTCCAGTGCAAAATTCCTGCGTTGTCTCAAGAAGAGTAGTTAGCCCTCCCAGTTCTTATCTTTGGAACTCCTGAATGATTCATCTTTGTTGAGGAGATGGGAGAGTGGGTGAGTCTGAGTAGTGTAGCAAAAGAAAACTGGACAGGTCTGACAACAAAATGCTATGTGTTCCCAGCCCACAACGGGGAGCTGATGAATTTCTGGCACATAAATATTTTTTCTGTAACAATAAAGCTGCTATTAAGCCCTGAATCAGGTCCCCCTTATGGAAGATTGGGGGCTGGATGCCAGCAGATCCTTGTCCTATGCACCACAGACTGCACAAATTCAAAGAAAAAATGGCTGCACGGCTGGACGAAAATTCAAATGCTGATAACATTATTCATCCAGACAACATGAACAGAGTCCCTGCCTGGGGCCACCTTCTCTACGATTGAAGCCAGCCTTGTGGTTTAAAGGAATTACAAGTCCCAGACCAGGACTCTTTATTCATGTTGTCTAGATAACGTTTCTTTGTAGTGCAGATGGTGTTTTTCTTGGGTATTTTTGAGTACTACTTATGTTGGTTTTTTACTTTAATATGGAGTTGCCTAACCCCTTCCCAGATTGGAAGAACTGGCTCCCAATCTGCATTATAATTCATCCCAAAAGTGTTTGTTAGAGTTGAGGTCAGGGCTCTGTATAGGGCACTCGAGTTCCTCTCCACCAAACTCATGAAACCATGTCTTTATGAACCTGGTGTTGTGTACAGGGGTGCAATCATTCTGGAACAGAAAAGAGCCTTCCACAAAGTGTTGCCACAGTGTAGGAAGCACACAATTGTCTATCATGTCTTTGTATGCTTTACCATTAAAAATTCCCTTCACTGGAAACATGTGAGCTCAGTTTGGATGTGTGCCTTCATACCTTTAGCCATACAGTGTACTTGTAACAAAAGGACACTGTATAAAGATTATATCTTCCCAAATAATTGGTGTGCATGTATCCACTAAAGCAGGATCTGATGTGAATGGTTTGATGTTTTCTGTCAAGCACTGCAAACTGTCGGCACTTTATGAAGGAGTAACAACATTAAACAGCGTCCTCCCTCCCACTCATATATATTCATTCTCCCCTTCCTTTTTAGGAGCTTCTGTGTTACAAGTACATACAGCGACCAGGTGCGGAGAGGCAATTTCAGCTACTATGGCAGAGAAGCTTCCCAAGTCCCCTGCTGTGCATGGCTGTTGTGGATTTGACCTGCGACGGTCTGTATGAACTGGCCATTGTGTGTCTGAAAGGACTGCACATACTGCAGGTGAGTTCTTACCCTTCAAACTGCTATTTGTTTTATAAATGATTTAAAACGCCCCAATCGGTCATTTATAAGTTACAAATCCTATATGGAAACGTTTCAGATGTGTCCCAATATACGACATGTGTCATTAAAAAAATAAAAATCAACCTTTTAGAGTTGATTAGCAGAACTTGAGCTCCCATCAAGTTACAAATCCAGAAATAGTCACCAGCACAGGCAGAGTGACTCTGTTGCCTGAAGAAGGGACCAAAATGGTTTCCGAAACGTCGCTACACATTGTCACATGCCTTTCTTTTCTCAATAAAGAAGAATTGACAGAATATGCTTTGGTGTGTTGGTGCCTGTTTTTGGATTTGTATTTGTGGCACCCGCAGTCATTACAGCGCCCACACCATGTTTTGGCTTGTATCCAGTCAGGAGTGCAATGGGATTCTATGAAGTTTGCCCATTGAGTTACAGATGCTTACAGGGTTATTCACAAAACGATGAAGAGTTTGGAGAAGTCAGGAGAAGTGAACAATCTAGGACAACATAGCTGAACTGGAAAAATCCTCCAATTCAGCTCACTTTCCAGTTCAGCTATGTTGTCCTAGATTGTTCACCCTGTCCTGTCTTCTCCAAACTCTTCACCCTTTAAAGGGTTTCTAAACCCTCACCTTTTTGTTTGCATATACCTACTGCTAGCAAAAGCATCTTGGGGCTGGCGCATGCGCAGTTTGGATTTTCAGCCGGGAGACGAGAGACGCAAGGTAAGTCTATGGACGCGTGCACCCGCATGCAGAGGCCATCGGACAGGAAGTACCAGCAAGAACAGAGAAGTCTGCGTTGGATCGGAGACCCGCAGCAGCGCTGGAGAGAAGGCTGAAAACTACAGGAAAGAAGATCGGATTAAGAGACATCATTTAAGGTAAGTGCTAACATTAACATTGGGGGGAGGGAAAAAAACTGTTTGCCTTTAATGTCTGCCCGAGAGGAAGATTCTATGGCAAAGGTGATCAGTCTTCTGCAGGCAGGAGGAAGCATTTGCTCAGCCTCTGTTCCCCCAGGGGCATGGAGCTGTGGGAGATTTTTACACTGACTGGTCACAAGGTGAAAGGCCGCAGCCAAACAAGACAACATGCGTACACACATCCAAGAACATGAAGGTAATGTGCCGGAATTGGGATTTACATGATTATTGTGAAATGTATCAGCAGTAGATGTTGACCCTGGAAGAAGCCTGAAAACAGAAGGTGTCGGCCTTCAGGGAGAAAATAAAATGAAGGCTGTTATTAGGAGTAATATTATGATCTCATTGAGAGGCAATACATTCCCGCCAGTGTTTAATCTGCAGACTACTTGGCATGTATGCATTTTTCACACAAAAAAACTTCAATGCTAGGTCTTAAATTGCAGCTTGGAAGCACGTCTCCTTTTTTGTTGTTTTCAGGATGTAATTTTGTTTGAGCTTCATGTTTATTACAGTTACTGTATATGGCTTAATCAAGCCACCCACATCCATGTCTTCCATGATTTATTTATTTCAGTTCGGTAGGAAACATTCACTGGTATATGGCAGTACGAGTCAGTGCATATTTTATGTTTTAGTCGGGGAGCAACATAAATAAATGTAAATAAAAGTCATATAATCACTTCACTCGTGTCAGGTCTCATCAGCCTTATGGTGTGAGAGACATTTTTTATTTGTTCACAGGGAAAATGCACTATTGTTGCATAAAAGCCGCCTGCTAATAAGAAACACAAATGAATGTTCGGCTTGTACCGATCATAGTCTGTATTACTCTACACTTCCATTCGGTGTCACTATTTCCATTCGTAACTCAAGTTTTTACATTTTTCTAGCGGCAAGCCGGGTTCTAATGTATAGAAGAATCGATTTGTACTGTACATATAAAAGTTGGAGTGTACAGAACACAGATTTGTCGGCCTGTTCTCTGTAAATAATGGAGTTAAGTACCAAGTTAAAAGGGAAAAGCCACAAAGGAGACAGGAAGCAGATGTATCACCACAAATGCACTTTTATAGTTAAAGGAGTTGTAAAGTCCCGGCATATCCTCTCCTCTTATAACATCAGCATTGTAATAGGAATATATAGTAGAGTTGTTTCTGATAATGAAATCAAAGCGTGCTTAAAAAATCTCTTATATAGTGAGTGCTGGCTTCTGTCTGCCCATAACTCCCAACATCTCCCTGGATTTCCAGTGTGCTTTGCGTTTCTTTCCCTGCTGCTTGATGTGATGTAATCTCCATTTCTCAAGACTACATATCCCATCATGCATTGCTTCCTGTGTCCAGTTATCATCCATAATGTTACATTGTTCAGACATTGAGTCATAGCTCAGGAGGCAGGCTCAGTGAGAGTTGTGAGCTGAGTGAAATTGTGTCACTGCACTGAACTACATTCTATGGGCATCTTAAATAAGTAAGTCTACAAACTTCTCGATGGATATGGTTATTAGGAGTGGGATAGAACTTGTGGAAATTCAATATTAAAATATATATTTGTTTTTAGTTTTTGACCATAGATACCCCTTAAAGACAAAGTGCACTTACTCCTCCCCCCCCCTTCGTTGACATCGCAGAGCCCATCTCCCCCTCCACAGATGTGCAATTATCACAATCCAGCAAAGTGGGACAGAACAGAATAAGTGCACTTCCTCAGAAAGTTTAATTGATCTTTAAAGAATAACATCTCATGATGATGAAAGAAAAAAGTTACAGTATTAGTTTTCATAGTGAAGCAGCCTGGATAGTCTTCATTCATGTGACCTGTGCCATGGTGTTGGTCACATGTACACTGCCAGTCTAGAGCAGTGGTTCTCAACCTGTGTAACCTCGGGACCCACATTTGTCCTCGGTCGTTAAGTCGCGACCCAAGTCGCACTGGAGTGGAATCTATGGCAGTGTGGGCTGTGATGGAGCTCCATCCATATGTGCATTGCTTGTACAGCTCCCATGCGCGCCTGTAGAGGTGTCGGGAGCCAGAATGTTTTGGCACTCCGGTCCAGGCTCCTCTACAGGGCACGTGAGGGAGCAGTAACCAATACATGTATGGACGGAGCTCCCTCTCTGTCATACCCCTAGCCCACCCCACCTCATGTCGACACTCGGCACCGGGCAGCATATTTTGAATGGCTGCTCGGTGTCAGAACGGACAGTGCTGTGCTAGGGGGAGGCTGAGGAGCCTCTCACCTAGAAAAGTGGAAGGCATGCGGCGACCCACCTAACACAGGGTCGTGACCCACTTTTGGGTCACGACCCACCAATTGAGAACCAAGGGTCTAGAGGATTTGGGGAATGATCTCACCAGTCCTACTTATGGACAGCTGAGTGTTACTGACATATTGACACATCAGACTTCACTCAATAAACTCATGAATTGTCTATTCAGTTATCCAATCATGTAAAAAGCAGATCCCTGTTTGTTTATTTAATCTGCACGTAACTGGGTATTCAACGCGAACACTTGAAGCCCTCATTCACACGAGTAACGGCCGGCCCGTACAGATCCGTGCTGTTTGCACGGCCATATCGGGCAGCTCCCGGGAAGGACAAGTGCCGCGTGTGATTTGTACGCAGCAACCAGTCATTCTCTATGGGAATATGTGGCCGTACACTGCCATACGCTCACCCGACCTGCACGTCCGTGCGGGTGTCCGTACTCGTACGCTGACAGGATGGATCCTGTCTGCGTCCAAGCAGGGACACCCGCACCCGTACGGACGTGCAGGTCGGGTGAGCGTAGGGTGGTGTATGGCCGCGTACTCCCATATACTCCCATAGAGCAGGACAGGCTGCTGCGTATAATCGCAGGCAACACCTGTCCTTCCCGGGAGCGGCCTGATACGGCCGTGCAAACAGCACGGATCTGTACGGGCCGGCCGCTACCCGTGTGATTGAGGGCTAAAGGAGAACTCCAGTTAAAATGTTATTAACTTTTATTAACCCTTGTATTGGGGCTGCCTCTGCACTGCAAGGGTTAAGTGCAAAGTCCATGAGAATGCAAAGCAGGTGGACACAGCTCAGATGGAGGTCTAATGCAGCTGGCAAATCATTCGGAATGATCTCATAAGCAACTGATGTCAAGAGAAATCTGCATTTGCCCATCAACACAAGATCAGAGCCCGCCAACACAAGACCAATAGGGAGGCTCACAGGGAGGGAGATGACTGAACGGAGATTAGCTTTCCTGGATTAGGCCCAGATTTGCATAAACGTTTCACGGTTTATAGCTCTGGATCTAGTGATCGTTTTCACTGAGGACCTTCATCATATGTTCAATATAAAATGCCCATAATGATTGCAGGGAAAGGTTTTCTATATCAACATCCTATATCTTAGGCTAGTGTTTTTTAAGCACTAGCCTAAGATATCAAAGTCTTCTCCAACAAAGAAGGAGGCAGAAAACATTGTCCTTCTGTGCGGCTGCGTCCTGTATTTGAAAACATTGGGCAGGCATGCATTTAAAACACGTTTTGATTAAATGCGTTTCCAGCACTCTGTGTTTTATTAAAGCAGAGAGTGTCCCCTTCTTAACACCTGCTCTGTGCCTGCCATCAGCTTGATTTAATAATTACCCAGAGGCTCCTAATTAGATGCCTGATGACCGTTATTGTTCCTTGCGGACATTAGCATAACACAATAGACAGCAGGTGCAAAGCTCTTTTGTTGTTTTATAGTCGCAGAAGGTCATATCTCTGGCTACAAAGCGGCCTGAATGTCCATCACAGCTCTGTGTCCACTTGCAATATTCATGTGTTTTGGGGTTTTTTGTTACTTTTTCTTTGCAGCTATATTTAAATAAGGTCATAGCCTGGTTCTGCCTTGCGACTCGGTCCCTGCACAGGATGTGGTGACAGTGATTGATGTGTGAATTTCTGTACCCCCGGAGCCCCAACCAAAACCCTTTAGGCCTCCCTCGCATTTGCAATCCATAGCCGCAGTGATGTGCAGTGTACCAACATAAGTGTAATAAATGGCTCTCTTGTGTGCAAAATGTTTTCTTCTTTTGTTGAATGTTAAAGGAGAACTATGGGGTTAAGGCTTTTCCCCCTAGTTCTACTTAGGGTAACGGGAGGACACAAACTAGCGTCCTCCCGTCACCCTAGGCGCAGTATACCGCGAGCTGCTGCTCGCGGTATACTGAGACGCCGCAGCTGAAGCGGATCACGACAATTATGTCTGGCTCCGCCCAGCTGCGTGACTGACAGCTGGCTCTGCCTATCTAGAGGCAGAGCCAGCTGTACCCGCCCCCTCCCCCATCCGTTCCGCCAGTCAGCGCAGAGAGCCGTGACAGGATCGAGAGGTGAGCGAATGCCGGTATGTGTTCGCTCACCTCCCGATCTACTAAGCCGACCTGTGACAGTCTCATTGTCACAGGTCGGCTAGAACTATGAGGTGAGTGAAAAGCACTCATCTCATAGTTCTCCTTTAATGTTAGTGATTTGGGTGAAGGAGTTCACTTTGTATACCCAATCATGATCAAGGGAAATAAAATAAAAAGATTTTACCAACACTGAGTATTCAAAGTGAGTGCAAACTGACCTTATTCACTAACATACGCATGCAAAGTGAACATTCACCTTGCTAGCTTGCTGAATGAGTACATCCTCCGTTTTTCGGATTTACATCAAAACCGATTCCTACTCCTACTGGTCCAGCATGACAACATATCTATCAGCTTATTCAGCTGCAGGCTCTCCAACATTAGGGAGACATGGGACATGGGAGAGAGAGAGAATAAGAAAAATGAGAGAGAGAACAACGCAACGTCATAATTTGGAGATTAGAGCTCCCTCTAGTGGTACACAACAATCTGCAGTTGTCCACATTGTGGGCATGGCCAGAATCTTATTTGATACATTAATGCAGGGGTAGCCAAACTCCGGCCCCCCAGCTGTGGTAAAACTACAAATGCCATGACACATCTCTCTCCGGGAGTCATGTCTGTGGCTGTGAGAATCTTGCAATGCCTCATGGGATTTGTAGTTCCACCACAGCTGGCGCGCCGGAGTTTGGCTACCCCTGCATTAATTGAAATTTCTGCTAACTGAATTGCTCCAGAACAATGCTAAGACAGTCTTAAGCTACTTGACATTGAAATGGGGTCCTAAGAGACAGGCCTCTTAAGTAAGATAGATACGTTTATAATTCATATAATGTAGGGCTGCAACTAATGAATATTTTCATAGTCGATTAGTTGGGCGATTATTTTTCCAATAATCGGATAAATACCGTCCTTAATTTAAAATGAAATACACATATGCAGTGTTACAAACATAACGTTTACTTCAGAATAAAACCATAATTCCTAAAGGTGCTCCTGTCCACCTCGGAGCTTTAGGATGATCCCACCTTTAAGAGTCCCAGCACTTTCTGTTGTATTCTCCATAACATAGGGGAGACTATATATGCTGAAAATAATAATGACAATTAGTAATGTTGACATGTGCCCCATTGATTTATGTGCGGTGTGAATTCTGATAAGTCCATTGTAACTGGAGAAAAGTTAATTTAAACCGAAAAGCATTTAAAACTTGATTTGTAGTGAAATTATGAATATATAAAAACAAATATTTATTTTGGTGCTTTGTTCATTATGCGGCGGCCATTTAATCTTTTCTGCTCTTCTCTTACTACAGCAAAGTTTGACGAAAACATCTCGGTGCCTCATCCAGCGTCTTCGAGAGCAGGTGGCACGCACCAAGATGTCAGACGTAACAGATACACAAAAGGAACCAGATGCTGAACCTTCAAATGATTATAGACACGACTGCACCACGTACATTCAGATATGAATCCTCTCAGAGAGGCCATACGTGAAGGAAAGGTGAACTGTTTATCAGATGTCGGGTGGAGAATTGACTGTTTTAAGTGAGTGCTTGTTTTTGCCAAGACTAACAAGTGAGCTCGTCTTGGCTTAAAAAGTTCTTTAAGTGCATTCATGCTTTCTGTCCTCTGCTCCAGATGTATACTTACCTGCATTCCATAGGCACGGCTCCCTGCATTCTTTTCACGCTGCAGCAGAAATGTTTGTGCTGGCTGTTCCTGCACAATCACAAAGGCTTTCATAGGATCGTCCCTCGAGCGCCCTCAGCCTCAGGAGATGGTCCCACATGGGAACTGACTGCAGCGGCATGACCAGTGTTAAGAGGATTTTGGCAGAAGGATAACAACAGTGGCTCAGGCAGCGACTGAGGGTTTGGGGACAAGTACTGTATACATCTGGGGTGGAGGAGGATGGTTACTTTAGGTCTGGGGGGCAGAAAGGATAGTTCATTTTCTGTGAAAGCGCACCATCCCTTGAAGCTGACAGTACTAAGGCAACTGCAAGTACTTGTGTTAGATGTTAAAGTGTATTTCCACATTTGCAGCCAAAATTGAGAACCCCCATTATATGTTTGTTATGTGTTCCTAGTCACACAGTATACCTAATAAGAATTCTTACCTTTTCCAGGCTTCTATGAGCAGTTTGGAAGGGGATCTGTCTCCATAGAAAGGACAGGAAAGATACATCCTCAGCACACCTTCTGCTTCAAAAGCTCATGTTTCTTGACAGCTGTGCAGCAGAACGTTTTGGAACCTTGCAGGGTCCCCTCATCAGGCAAAGTGTCCTCCTTATATGCTGTACGAACATCAATAAAGACAAGCTTTTGAAGCAGAGGGTGTGCTGACAACATGACTTTCTTTTGCATTATTGTGGCACCATCCACCAGTTGTCCCAATTTAAAGTGGTATACCAGTATGGTCCCATAATTTGTCCCCATAGAAAGACTAACGGACAGACTGAGCTTCCTCTCATTCACATACAATGCTTCTAGATCTTTAAAGGAGAACTATGGGGTCTGTTTTTCCCCATAGTTCTCCTTAGGGTAACGGGAGGACACAAACTAGCGTCCTCCCTTTTATGTGTTCGCTCACCTCCCGATCTACTGAGCCGACCTGTGACAGTCTCATTGTCACAGGTTGGCTAGAACTACCCTTTGTTAGGACTGGCAATTCAGTGTTTGTAATGCAATTGTTCAATGCAATGTAAATGGGAACATATAACAATTTTTAGGCAGGTGTTATCCCAGTTTGGCTGCAAAAGTGGAAATACAAGTTGATCTCTGAGTTTGTATGGAGACTGTACACAGGGCCTTGAGTACTCTTGAAGTAGAAATAAAGCCCTACCCTTTCCGACTACCTGTGGGGTTTTCCATGTTGGAAAAACTCCATATACTTTAATGTACATTCACAAAGCTTGATATTATGTGTCCAGCCATTGATCCATTGATGAACCCAACCAGCGTTATACGGGGTCACACTTTTATCATTTTTTGTAAACCATTTCATCAGTTATTTTGGTAAGTTCGTCTTACAAATTACAATTACTTTGAGTATTATATTTGTGTTATGAATCCCTGAATCTCGGATCAAGAGGCTTTGGATCTTCTTACCATTTCATTTAAAACTAGACCTGGAGTATCCAACCATCTTCCATGTAGGCACCCTATTTAAAAGCCCGGCTATAGGTGGCTTCAGTGCACGTTTTGCGGCGAGTCTTTGTGTGAGAGGTGCAAGGACATCAGTGTTGTGACGTCATTTCTTCCTGACACTATCCATGCGTCTGCTGTAATCATTTAGAAAACAGGAAATAATGAATCGTTACTGTAACCACTCACCGCCTTCTGAATCATTGTCAACAGCAATTTGTTGAGCTCAGAAACTGACCATCGAGCCCACCAAATAGCTCTGTAGCATATGTCAAGCAGTATGCTGATCACGGTTTATTTCCTCCTGTATAATATGTATGAAACTGAAAGTAAATATTTTCGAAATAAATCCAAATAAACAATTGTTTCGCTTATTTATTTTGCTGAAAATATTCTACATCCTTCCTTGTCTTCTTTACAGGCAGCTCTTTTATTGTTTTTTATTGGCCTGTGAAATGTATTTAAAGGGGGACCATGATGGCGTTAACGCAGGATTCATTTTGCCAGCACATTCCTTACGTGACCAAAGTAGTTTAATATGCAGACTTTGAACTGTGTCTAAAATGGCATAATCCCGTGATTTCAGCAGGATAAAACTCCCTCTAACACACGTGCATGTCTCTGGAAAATCTCTTCCCTCAAACATGACCCTGGTATAGAAAATATAGAAAACAAAGCGATGGGTATAAATACTTTCGGCATTCAGAAAGCTGAAAAATTGACATCTGCAATATGAAGACTTTAATTTAGAACACTATTCTTATATAACACCTCACAGTATGAATACAAATCATTAAGGTTGGCTGCACAACCATTTAAATATTGAGGGAAATGTATAATGTGATGGCTATCTAAATAGTGAAAGAAATGTATAACGTTGCATGTTTCCATGTTGGGAGGTTGTTCTTTGCCATTGGTTCAGCTTGGAATAAAACTGACTTTATTCATACCAGCTACTGCAAAGCATAAGGGGATCTGCAACAAAAAAAAACTAAGCCTGCCCAGGGTACAACCCATCTTACTATGAGCATGCGTCAGGGTTTCTAGGAGCTTCAGACCATATGGCCTCTCTTCACATATCTTCAGGCGATATGGCCTCTCTTCACATATCTTCAGGCGATATGGCCTCTCTTCACATATCTTCAGGCGATATGGCCTCTCTTCACATATCTTCAGGCGATATGGCCTCTCTTCACATATCTTCAGGCGATATGTCCTCTCTTCACATATCTTCAGGCGATATGGCCTCTCTTCACATATCTTCAGGCGATATGGCCTCTCTTCACATATCTTCAGGCGATATGGCCTCTCTTCACATATCTTCAGGCGATATGGCCTCTCTTCACATATCTTCAGACGATATGGCCTCTCTTCACATATCTTCAGGCGATATGGCCTCTCTGCACATATCTTCAGGAGATATGGCCTCTCTGCACATATCTTCAGGCGATATGGCCTCTCTGCACATATCTTCAGGCGATATGGTCTCTCTTCACATATCTTCAGGCGATATGGCCTCTCTGCACATATCTTCAGGAGATATGGCCTCTCTGCACATATCTTCAGGCGATATGGCCTCTCTGCATATATCTCTTCAGCGTTCATCAATTCGTTTGTACATCAATAATCAGGGAGGAACAAGAAGTCTTGCTGCCGCGAGAGGTAGAGTGGATCCTGTCCTGGGCATCAATGTAGGGTTCCAGCCTTGTCAGCTGATTACATTACCGGCATGGACAATTGACAGGCAGATTTTCCCACCTGACACTGTTTGGACCTGAGAGAGTGGTCTCTGTACCTGAAGGTGTTCTAGGAACTGGGTCAAAGGTAAAGAACAATGGATGTGGACCTCCCACCCTCCAAGTTTAACAAAAAACTGGACAGGTTTGTGTGCAGGTCCAGGGATCCTCTGGTGGAGGCAGTGGATGCTCTAGTGCAGGGGTCAGCAACCTTAAACACTCAAAGAGCCATTTGGACCCGTTTCCCACAGAAAAGAAAACACCAGAAGCCACAAAACCATTTTGACATCTAAAATGAAGATAACACCCCATATATCATTTTTTACCTTTATGCTATGTATAGCATGTATATAGGTATATGTGGGCTTAGTAATGCACTGGACCCTGGGCCTAGTAACACTCTGGGCTTAGTAACGCACTGGACTCTGGACTTACCTGAGACCCCGCAGAGGCCACCTGAGAGTGAACCTGCAGAGCCCATCCGGGACTCTCTATGGTGGGCTTTGCAGGGCCTCAGACGGGCTGGTCGCTGGGGTCCCTGTACCTCCTCCCAACTCCTCTTACCTGCTGGGGCCTGGCCTCCACCCCCTCCCCTGTCACCTCTGCATCCCTTCCCTGGTACAGCTGATACTCGTGTAAGAGGCCCCCCCAGGCTGCCCAGACCCCTCACGTGGGTACCGGCCGTACCCCCCCTGCTGGCGTTTAGGCCCAGGTTCTAAGAGACATGGAGAATCATTGAGTTTGGGATTCCTTTCGTGCTCAAGGCTAGGAAGTCTACTTCCCGTAAAGTTTACCATCGGATGTGGACGGTGTACCACATGGGGTCAGTTTTATGGCTTTCACCCAAGGAGTTTCTCAGTGGAATGGATCTTCTCTGTTTTGCATTCGGGTCTTGACTAACACTTGGCTCTTAGTACTAGGGATGCACAGATACTTTTCGAGTACCAGTGCCAATACTTTGCATTTTCATGAGAACTACCAGGGTTGCAGCGGTTGCAGCTGGGACCTGGCTCTGGCGCTCCACCACTGTCCTGAAATCATTAGTCTGTATTGTTTTAGAAAAACTGTCACATGACAATAAACAAAAATGTATCAGTACTCGTAAGTACTCGGCAAGTACCAGTACTCGTACTCGCAAAACTGGTATCTGTGCATCCCTTTATTTCTATTTATAAAAACAAAATCGTACATTAAAACAGAGATGTAGAAATCCCAGGAGCTCCGTGTGCTACTTACAAATGGCAGCTGCCTCCTAACTTTTGAATTTTTCTCTAGTCTAGTCTTGGAGCTCAAAAGTATCTGTACTTGTACCGTGTACTGTACTTGGTATCTGTGCAACCCTACTCAGTACCATCAAGCGTCAAGGTTTTTAGACTTATACTTGAAAGGCAATACGTAATGGATTAGCCATTGATGGACGCAGCCATTTCCCACGTGCGTGTATGCTGCATTCTAGTTCTGGGGCTACACCTTAATGCAAAAGAACTAGTATGGGGGCATATAAGTCTCAATCTGCTACTTCCTTTTAGTCTACACACACCATGGTTCTACTTTGTGCCAGAGGCCCTTGAGCAGTTCTGTGCAGTTTACAGACACCAAAGGTTATCACAGC